ACTCTTTCCATATATATCATATTAATTGAGCTGCACCAGGCCTGTTCTTTATCTGTGACCTCTATGTACACTGAGAACTATTCCTGGGACTCTTTACCAGCTCCTTTGAAGATTTTAATTCCTGTTCACTCTCACCATCTGGGTCTCTTCAGAGGTCTCAGAGGAGCGACCTCCCAGAAGTTAGAAAAGTCTACTGATTTGCTTGAGGGTTTATAACCTTGGTTAGGGGTCCCTAAATTTGAGAGATGTATCCATAACTTATCCCTCGCTATGACTAAAATTATAAATGTAACCATTCACACTATAAAGGCCCAGAAAGAGAACTTTGAGTCACTTTCGGTCTTGGTAATTAATGGACCATCACATAGTTTTACAGTATTTACTGGCCTCCTAGGGGGCATCTGTACTCTGGCTAATATTTTCTATTGTTCCTGGAGAATAAGAGACACATGACCCAGTTCTCCACTGTCCTGCCAACAGCCAGCAACTGGCAGACATGTGAATGAGGCTATTGGTGATTAACTTAGTTGTAAATGCACATGTGAGGCTAGACACGTGGAGTAGAGCAAAGCTGTCCTAGTTGAGCCCTTTCATCAGGACAAGATGAAAAAAATCTTGGAAAAAATAAAGACAGGCTGATTACTCTCAAAAGTTTGATAGTCTGAGACTTGGAATCTATTTTCCTATTCTCCTGGTTAAGTCAAATTTTAAAACTTCGTGAAATTTCCTATAATGATGGGACTTCTCACTATAACATAATAATTCTGTTTGATTTGAATTATAACACTATAATTCTGTTTGATTTTCCCTAATGCATTTTTAATAGAGTCTAAAACTACTGTGCAACTGATGTTGGTGATCAAATGATGATCCTATACTAGGAAGAGACAAAATTTATTGTGGTCCAGAGAGGCAGATGACCAAAAATGGGAATGACAAATCCTAACATTCGGCCCAGCCTGCCCCTGGGGATACATATCACACTGTATGACCAATGCCCTTCATACACAATTTTTGTTAAAATACACATACAGATATATGATAGATAAGAATACTTCAGTGAGTTTTCTCAGTCACAGCACAGAAACATTAAGGATTTTACTCTCCACAACTGTTCAAGTTACTAATTTCTAAGGAAATGCTATAGCATCAAGGTATCCTTTTTTTTTTTTTTGGAGTTGGAGTCTCACTCTGTCGGGCTGGAGTGTAATTCGCGGTTCACCACAGCCTCAACCTCCTGAGCTCAGGTGATCCCTCTGCCTCAGCCACCTGAGTAGCCGGGACTATAGGCACATACCACCATGCCTGGATAATTGTTTTCTATTTTAAGAGACAAGGTCTTGCTATGTTGCCTACGCTAATCTTGAACTCCTGGATGTAAGCATCCTCCCACCTCAACTTCCCAAAATGCTGGGATTACAGGTGTGAGCTACAGCACCTGGCTAGCGCATCTTTCAAAAGACAAAACATCTCAACTAATAGAATTATTTTAGAGGGTGGTAATCCACTATGAACTTAAAAAGTGCTAAAAGTGCTATTTTATTTAGAAAAATGTTCTGAGTTGTTAATTAAAAAAGAGATCTAAAGATATGTTTAGCATTTAAAAAGAAAAATTATTAAGAAACCAGAAATATGTGATAGTATAATATACTGAAGTAATCTTCTGAAGATAAAATGGTTATTCAAGATTATAATAAAGTATACAAAGAGAAAATTTATTTTAGAATTTAAACCAAAGGAACATTTTAAATACACATTACCCTGGTGTTAAGGCATATTAGATTAGTAAGATCAGTAACCTTCATCTTCGTTGAGTCTAGCTCTTAATAGCATGTCTTACAGTGTATTCCAGAAGTTGGAAATTATAAAATTAAATATAAAAAGCAGTTTTAAAAGTTTATAAAATTTTTTAAAGTGCCCTTCAATTAATTTCACACACATAGTCTTATTCCAGAAGAACCTTAGGTAGGTGGCAGAAGAATATGTATAGGAGTAACCCTGACAGAAATAATCCTAGAAAACAAAAGCTGATGAAAAGACACATTTTTTTTTTAAAGAAAAGCTCAAGTGCACAAGGAGAATAAATCAAAAATTATACTTGCTCCCCTAAAGTTAGCAAAGGCAGGCTTCCTAGGTTACAGGGAAAAAACTACCAACACCTTTAAATAAAAAATGCTTTTGCTAAAATAAAATCTTGCTAACATTATTCCCAAGTAGAAAAAACTTTGAAAACCAGAAACCAAGGCGGCAAGGGCCAGGGGTGGGGATTTTTTGTTTTTGTTTTGAGTCAGAGACTTACTCTCTTGCCCAGGCTGAAGGGCAGTGGCACAATCACAGCTCACTGCAGTCTCAACCTACCGGGCTTAAGCAATCTTCCCGCCTCAGCCTCTCAAGTAGCTGGGATTACAGGTGTACACTACCACACCCTGCTATTTTATTTATTTTTTTATAGAGACAGGGTCTCACTATGTTGTCTCACTATGTTGCCTAGGCTGGTCTCGAGCAATCCTGCGGGCTCAGCCTCCCAGAGTGCTGGCATTACAGGCGTGAGCCACCGAGCCTGGCCTGGGGATGGAGAGGGATTCATGATTAAAATGAAGCAGCACTTAGAAATCTGTCCCCAACTTTCATCTTATCCAGAGACTTGTAGATGAACATCAAAACAAATTAAAATCCACAGAGCAGCATTTTTCTTCCACTTGCTTAAAGGAATCTATTATAGGGAGGATTGTTCAAAGGGCCATAGCAAAGAAAATAGATCTAAACCAGGCTCGGTGGCTCAGCCTGTAATCCCGCGCCTTTGGGAGGCTGAGGTGAGTGGATTGACTGAGCCTGCGGGTTCGAGACCCACCTGGGCAACTTGGCGAGACCTCATCTCTACAATAAATCAAAAATTAGCCGGGTGTGGTAGCACATGCCTGTAGTTCCAGCTACTTGGAAGACTGAAGCAGAAGGATTGCCGGAGCCCAGCAGGACGAGGCTGCGGTGGCCAGGGGCGGCCACTGCACTCTAGTCTGGACGACAGAGTGAGATTCCAACTCAAAAAAAAAAAAAAAGAAAAGAAAAGAAAATAGGTTCTAAAGTGAAACTTAAAGAACTTCAGTCACCAAATACATGAGGGAAGCTGTGACATGAGAGGAAATGTATGAGAAAGGCTCACACGTTTCTGAGCTTCCCTAGGTTCCTGTGGCCTCTATCTTCAGTGAGAAAAATCCTCAGGCAACTGACCCTACCAGACGCTTAAGGAATTCTAACTTGCTCTTCAGTAAATCCCAAACCTGAGAGCACATTAAAATCTCCGGAGGTCTTTTTTCTTGTTTAATACCAATGCCTGGACCCTACCCAAGATCAATTAAATCAGAATTTCTGGGATGGGGCCCAGCCTCTAGTATTTTTAAAGCTCCCAGAGGTTCTAATGTGCAGCCAGGGGTGAGACCCACTAGGTAACCTAGGAAAATGCTGAGAAAAGTCAAGGATGACTGTAATTACTGTGTGTTTGAACTTCAGTTGTGACCGAATATAATTTTTCAAGGGGATATACTTTTCCTAATGCTAGGCTATCTTTTTTGTCATGTGCTTACCCTCTAGTATACGACACTGAGTCCCTCAAGAAAATAAAGACACCATTTATTGAGCACTTACCTGGTGCCAAGCACTGGGCTGGAAACAACCCCACTCCCACCCATCCACCCACCATCACTAATGTCCATTCTTCTGCAAAACAAGTAGGTAAATCCATTCATACAGGACACCTGACAAGGAGGAGCTTATTCGTCCCCATCACGGTACAAGTAAGTGCAGAAATCGGAATTAGAGTCTACATGTGTCTGATTATAAAGTGATGCTTTTCATTTTATGTATTTATGTTTGAAAGGTAATAGAGTTACATGTTTCACATGTTTATACAGTATAAACATTTATAAGGTATACATAAGGCATATGAAAAATCAACCTCACTCATAATTTTTTCTTGTCACAACTGACGTTCAAATGCAAAGCAACTACAGTCATTTGGCATAGCCTCTTCCATCTCCTAGCCACCAATTCCCTCCCTAGACACAAAGTTCTCCGTTTCTTGTTTATTTAATCGTATACAAACAAATCACGTAAGGGTTTGTGTACACACAATATATTTGGGTTCCTCCCCACCCATTTTAAACAATGGTAACATAGTTCATGCACTATTTTGCACATGGCTCCTTTCACTTTAAAAGTGTATCCTGGGCTGGGCTCAGTGGTTCAACCTATAATCCCAGCACTTTGGGAGGCTGAGGCAATTAGACTGCCTGAACCTGCGGGTTAGAGACCAGTCCAGGCAACTTGGTGATACCTCATCTCTACAACAAATAAATAAATAATTAGCAGGGCATGTTAGTTCGCGGCTGTAGTTCCAGCTACTTGGAAGGCTGAGGTGGAAGGATCACCAGCGCCCAGTAGGTCAACGCTGGGGTAGTCATGAGCATGCCACTGCACTCCAGCCTGGGCGACAGAGTGAGACTCCAACTCAAAACAAAATAAAAACAAAAAATAAAAGTGTATCTCAGAGGTAATTTTATATCAGTACATAAATGCTTAAAATTCTTTTTTGTATCGCATAGTATTTCGTTGAACAGATGTACTATCATGTTTTCAACCAGTCCCGCATTGACAGGCTAATTATTTGCTGTTGTGAAAAATACTGACACAAATACTCTGAGCTACATAATTTCATATGTATATACAGATCATATACATATGAATAATTAGATGCCAAAAGTCAGGCCCTTCCCACTATCCCATGCTACCTCAGGCTTCTAAGAAACAACTCACAACCAGACTTACAATGATTTCTATGTATTTTATTTAAAAATCTTACCTAAATACCCAAATTACATTTTCATGTCAATAAAAACTTATGATTTTTCAAAATATGCCCAAAGACCAAAATAGTCTGAGACATGGTTTTAAGCCAAAATAAAATACTTCAAAACCAGTGGCATAAACACTGTGCTGGCTCTCACTCAGAAGGTGTCTGTCCCTGAGGACTCCGTGTCCCCCTGCACCATGCCCATGTTCAGAGGCTGAGAGCAATCCTCACGGTTCATTGAGGGTAGCATCACGGACATCTTGGCAGGTGGCATCTGCAAAGTGACATGTGTTGCTGCTTTCCCACCTGCAAAGAGAAGAAATTCATTCAGCTAAACAAGCAGATCCTGAGTATTGATGTGCTTTATTTACACTTTCCTAAAGAATGCCGGCCAGGGGGTCGAAATGAGAATTGCAAATGAAGGAATCTCTTTTCTCAAGGTGCCCACAACTGTCAGAAAGATGAAATACACCCATTCTCCTTCCCACTCTCACTCCCAATCAGGTAGAGACACCGTTCTGACAATATACAAGGGCCAAGGGTTGTGGTACACATGACAAATACTAGGCTAAGATGGAGCAGGGTTAAGAGACTCCTCTGAAATCTAGACTCCTCTGGCTGTGTGACTTTGAACAAGTCATTTTACACGCAAAAGTTCAATGTGTCCATATGTTAAGTGGGATAATAGTACCTACCTTGCACTGCATAGTAAGAATAAAATAGTATCAGTTGGGGCCGGGCTTGATGGCTCAGCCTGTAATCACAGCACTTTGGGAGGCCAAGGCAAGTAGATTGCCCGGGCCTGTGGGTTCGAGACTAGTCCAGGCAACTTAGCAAGACCTCATCTTTACACTTAATAAAAAATTAGCCAGGCGTGGTAGTGCATGCCTGTAGTTCCAGCTACTTGGAAGGCTGAGGTGGAAGGATCGCTAGAGCCTGACAGGTTTATGCTGGGGTGGCCATGAATGTGCCACTGCACTCCAGCCTGGGCAAAAAAGTGAGACTCTAACTCAAAAAAAAAAAAAAAAAAGAAAGGCTGAAACGGAAGGATCACCTGAGCCCAGCAGGCTGAGCAGCGTGGGTGACCTCCAACTCAAAAATAATAATAATAACAATATCAGTCAAGAGCTCAACAACAGAGCTTAGCACTTAGGAAGGGCTCAAAAACGAAGAGGTCCCATATTCACTAAAAGATGGCTACTATTACCATGAAGTAAATAGTTAGAAGTCCAATAAAACACTGTAAAAGTCCTGAATTAAGGATTTGCTGCTGGTTACAGAAAGAACATTATTTATTTTTTTAAGGAGGTAAGATCTGAGCCATGCAAGAAGCATATGAAGTCAAAAGTTGCCAAGGCATTTTGGTCTTCCTCCTACTCCTAAAAAACGGCCCCTCAGCTGGCGTGGTGGCTCATGCCAGCAATCCCAACACTTTGGGAGGTGGAGGCGAGAGGATCATTGAGCTCAGGATCGAAAACAGCCTGAGTAACATGGCAAGGTCTTGTCTCTACAATAAATAAAAAAATTAGCCAGGTGTGGTGACATGTGCCTGAGGTTCCAACTACTTGGAAGCCTGAGGTGGAAGGATTACCTGAGGCCAGCAGGTCCAGGTCAAGGCTGTGGTGGCCGTGAGCATGCCATTGCACTCCAGCCTGGGCAACAGAGTGAGACTCCGACTCAAAAAAAAAAATTGCAGCTCAATCAGGGTCATATAATTAATAATCATCTACTGAGTGCTTATGGGTGCTATGCGATTAGGTTCACAGAAGTGATAAAAGAGAAGTGACATCAGAGGAAAGCCATACTGAAGTAGTCATTCAAGTATTATTGACATTTGACTTTGGAAAACATTTATCTCTATAAAATAGACTCTTCTTCATTATTTCTACATTTAATCAAATAAAGAATAAATTTCAACTCCACGGATTTAAGGCTGTATTACATTGTCTAATATCAAGTGGGCTGGGAGCAGGGAGGAGGAAGTTTGACATAAAGAATTCATTAATATGTTAAAATATATGTGTATCTATCTGCTTATACTCTAATTTACTCCCCTAAGGCACATTGCCTGAGAATATAAAGAATGTCAACTTGGTATTATTTAAAACCACAAAAATATCTTCATTTTAAATTTCAGGGATTTACCATAGGTACAATAATAAACACCTTCAAAATAAACTATCTTAAACAATCTTAAAGACATCTTTCAGTCAAGAATAACAGTAGTTTTTCTAAAATCCCTTAATGTTTTTCAAGTCGTTTCCACAGTAATAAAGGAGAATTTTCCATTACATTTTTATAGGGGCCACAGTAAAAGTAGACAGTTCTGGAGATGTCAATGATGACTCAATCACAGCTGTCCAAGATGATCAGAATACTAATAAAAAGCAAATTCCTTTCATTTTAGGAAGTCTAACAAAGACTATTTTAAATACTCTTCTGCCTCTTTTTGTTACTTGTATCAATTTTGTTTTCTTATAAAAAGGGAAAAGGGAGATAAGATTTGACTTCATTATAGCAACATCATAAACTATAATACCTTAGCATTTAAGAAGACACTAAGTTTTACATCAATTTAAATGGAATAGGCCTGGCACATTGGCTCAGGCCTGTGATCCTAGCACTTTGGGAGGCTGAGGCGAGAGGATTGCAGGAACTCAGGGGTTCCAAGACTAACCCGGGGAACTTGATGAGACCTTGTCTTTACAATAAAGCAAAACATAAGCTGCGTGTGGTAGCGCGTGCCTGTAGTTCTGGCTCCTTGAAAGGCTGAGGCAGAAGGATTGCCTAAGCCCTGTAGGTCGAGGCTGTGGTGGCCGTGAACATGTCACTGCACTCCAGCCTGGGCAACAGAGTGAGACTCCAACTCAAAAAAAAAAAAATAAATATTTTAAATAGAAAGATTTTGAAATTTAGCTTTATCAGAATATAATAAAAACTACAATTAACAAATACCAACAACTACACTTTAAAAAATTTTTTTTTTTTTTTGAGTTGGAGTCTCACTCTGTCACCCAGACTGGAGTG